AGTGATAGTAACAGTGTCGAACCGCAACTCGAGTGGTGCAAGAACATCGTTGAAGGCTAGATTGGCAGCTACAGTGAAGGCCAAAAAGGTGGGGTTACTCTGGAAAAAATAAGACAGCAACCAGGAGGATGGACGGAGAGATAAATATCTCGACGGGGTCGTGGAGGCGATCACCACCTGGACAAAGAACGGTAGGAACACTACCTTAATGTCGAATACAGCCCTCAAGAGGGAAAATATTCAGACAAAAGTAAATTCAGATTTCATAAGACTGCCCCTCACTCAAAATACAACCTCTCCTATTTATAAAGAGACATAACATATCTTAGAAAACATTTAAAATAAGGACAATAAAAATTAGATTTCAGATTTGAGAAAAGAATTTAAATTAAGAAGGAGAAAAAATCAGACTTCAGTTTTTAGGAAATGTTTAAATTAGAAAAGAAAATAAAAATTGGTTTTAAGTTTTATGAAAGGTTTTTAATTAGGAAGGAAAACAAAAAATCAATTTCAACTTTAGCAAAGATTTTAAATTAGAAAAAGCCTATGAAGAAAAATAAGAAAAGAATGAAATGAAAGAAAAAGGAATGAAGGGAAAACGGGAAGTAGGGAAGAGGAAGGAGGGGGTGGCACCCCGCTTCTTTGAGGACTGGTTGGTCCTCTCCCGAACCCCACGTCAGTCTCCCGGGGTTGGAGTAGCTTTCACCTCACCTGTCAAAGCTTCTAGTCCCTTGTCTTTAATCATGGCAGCACCTGAATCCCATTGTCGACTATACTGCCTCCCAACGCACTTGGGAGGGCTCTCAGTCCAATCTCTTGGGACAGAAATCTCTTGCATGATGATGGACGTGGTGGTAAAGAATCGATTGTCGCTAAAACCGGTCCTGCTACTCTACTGGCAATGACTCCTATCTCATCGGGTGCTACCGAAGGAAGTAGAATAAGGTGTTTGTCGTCCTTGGTGAATGAATATGCGTTTCTGAATCCATCATGTCAATTCTTCCAGTTAAGTTGTCACGTTCTTCCTAGCAGAAGGTGGCAGGTGTCCATGAAGACCACATCACACCGTACCTGATCCTGCAGCTGACTCCCTATTGCAAACTGTACTACGCATTGCCAGTCAATATTGATCCTATTTTTCTTCTTCAGCCACATTAATGAATATGGTTGGGAATGCCTCTAAGTCGTGAGTCACAGATTCTTTACCATCTAAGTCGATGCCACATTTTTACTACTACCGCTGTCGATGACAAGTCTACAAACCTTTCCATTCATAGTACAGCAGGTATAGAAAATATTGTGGCCAAGCGACTACAGATCCCTTGTGTTCTCGACCTGCAGAATCCGTCGAATCACGTGTTTCTCGCTCATATGGTGGAAGTTCGATCCTTCTCCCTTGTTTTTCAACGTCTTGTTCCTCACTAATCTCTTCTACGGCTCCCTGCTCGATAAAAGATACAACTCTGCTCGTTGGGATGTTGGAGGCTATGTGCCCAAATCCGCAGCATTTAAAGCATTTCTGGTGGGTACTGTAGTCAGTTTCTTCTCACTAGTGGTGGCTTTCTCCGTATCTGAACCAATTTTCTCAAATTTCTACGGTGTGCTCCTGCTAGTGTCTCCAACTGTGGGTGGCTGCCAAGCTGGTGGTGGTTGTTGATTTTGCTTCTGTTGTCTTTCTACTTTCAATGTTAGGTTATGAACATCCTCTAGCATCCAGCATCGCTGCAACTGCACCATATTGTTAATACTAAGCTTCAAGCCCCCAAAATATCTGGCTACTGTATTTCGCTCTGACTCAGCCACGCCGCACTTCAGATGTAAGTGGTCGAACTGAGTTGTAACCTCCTCCCCTGAAAGGTCTCTCTGTTGCAGATTGTTGAATTTCAAAAAAATCTCTCGGCAATAATGAGGAAGAAACTTCTTCAATGTGGTTTTCTTCATCTCTCACATCTGATAATCTTTCTGTCGCCTTCTCACCGTCTCTGTCGTTAAACATTTTCCCACCATAGGGAGGCACTTTTCTTCAATTTGATAGCAGTTAATTTGACCCGCATCTCTTCGAGCACATCTTTGTACTAGAAGTTATGCTCAACTACCTGTAGCCATTCTATAAATTCATATGTATTCATGCTCCCCTCAAGCTCTAGTAAATCTACCTTGATCCCACAGTCTTGGTGCCCTCCAAATGACATCTCTTCTCGGAAAGTTTTCGTATGAGGGGCGCGGTCTGATATTGTATTTTGAAACTCGTGGCCTATCTTCTTTATCGTTGAAATTATCCCTATGGAAGGGATTCAGATCAACTTCTCTCTCTCCCCTTCGACTTTTCAAGTCTCGGTCGAAGGTAACTTCTTCCTGTGTCAGTTCTTCCATCAGTACAATTCTTTGTTGGAGGCGACGAAATCTAGCTGTATCCTTCCCAGGTAAACTCGAGCATATTTCTCCTTGGCAACATGTTTAATTATTTGGAATATGTGAAAGAAAAGAAAGAACAAAGAAAAAAAGAGAAAAAAAATGGTGTGGTGGATTGAGTAGAGGCAGATACTAGAAACCTTATGATAGGATTAAGGTTGGGTTAGCTCTGATACCAAATAGTACCGAAGTTAATCTAAACCAAAACGAAAACACAAATAATATTTCTGAATTCCAAGCATATTACAAATACGATACGGGAAAGCAAGAAATAAATGACAAACAACTAAGACAACATAAGTAATAAAAGGCGTCCGTGGGGGACGACGAGGACAGAGATTGTTAGACAGCGGTTGATGGCAGAGGAAAGAGGGTTGTTGATGGGAGGTGGTCGGAGGGATAGGCAGCCGCTGGAACAACAAGACAATTTGGGGTGGCAGTCGGTTGTTGTTTGGGGCTACTGGAAAGCAGGAAAACAGCAAAGTGAAGGTGTTGCGTGTTGCGCCGGCGAAGTTGTTGGGACAGTGAGGGCAGTGAGGACAAGGGAGGATAAGGCGATGGGGGTGTTCGGAATTGCAGAAAACAGTAGATCCTTTTTTTCAGCGGTAGCAGCAAGGGTGGCGATGGTAACGGCGTCGAACCACAGCTGGAGATGTGAAAGAAAGTCGTCGGAAGCTGGATTGGAGGCTACGATGAAGGTCGGAGATATGGGGCTATTGTGGAAGAAGTAGGACAGCAGCCGAGAGGATGGAAAGAGACATAAATATCTTAGCGAGGTCAAGCTACACCTGGAGCACCACCCGGACCAGTAGACACGATCACCACCTCGGATAAGAGACAGTCGGAGCACTACCTCGACGTCGGATACAACCCTTAAGAGAAAAAATACTCAAACAAAACTGAATTCATATTTCGTAAAACTGTCTCTAACTCAAAGCACAGCCTCTCCTATTTATAAAGAGACATGACTTATCTTAGGAAACAATTAAAATAAGAAGTAGAATAAAAATCAGATTACAGATTTGAGGAAAGGATTTAAATTAGGAAGGTGTATAAAAATCGGATTTTAATTTTTAGGAATTGCTTTAAATTACAAAGGAGAATAAAAATCATATTTCAATTTTAGGAAAGGTTTTAAATTAGGAAGGAAAACGAAAAAAATATTTCAATTTTAGCAAGGGTTTTAAATTAGAAAAGGCCAAGGAAGGAAAGTAAGAAAAGAAGGAAAGGAAAGAAAAAGGAAAAGAGGAGGGGAGGAGGGAGGAGGGAGAGGAAGGCGGCAACCCCCCTTCTTTGAGAACCTTCCTATCCTTTCTCGAATCCCGCATCAGTCGGGGTTCTTGATGATCAAATTTCAAGTAAATTTTGAAAGTCCAAATGGTTGTTTGAATAGCCAAAAGATGATTATGTGCTATATGTGGTGTGGACAGAGATGGACGCTTATGCTGCATATCTATTGATTTGCTCCCTCAAAGACCATTCATGGTCCTTTTGGTAAATTTCTGCTTTAGCATGCAATTTTGTTTGAGAAGCATTTGACATCAACTTATTTCATTCTTCCAAATATTGTTTCACTAGGGTAGTATCGTTTGAGGTGGCGGGTTCATTTCTTGCTAAAAACTATGAAGGACAAAAGACATGAGCGGTTTGTAAGAATAAAGGAACTCGGGCCACTTTAGTTTAATTGTTGACTAGTACAAATGAATACTGGAAAATGTCTTCAAAGATTTTTTTCCAATATGCCTTTAGAACGTAAATTCATTGAGAAAGTGTTAAAGAAAATGTTTAAGTCGCTCAATCTCAATCTATTAGCCAGCATCTGAATAATAATTGTCAACACTACTCATAATACAAACAGCAACTTTAGACAATATTCCATTATCCCTCTCTAAAATGGTCCACCCTAATAATTTATATATTGTTTAGCAGCCGTATAAAACAATAGTTTCGCAGAAATCCACAACCAGAAAACACAAAAGGAGCATGGCCAGCTACATTTTAATCCAGAAATCTTACAGTCATACAGTTTCTTTCCCCTAACCTAGTGCTTAAGTGATACGCAATAGTCTTCCCACACGGGAGTCTACCTACTCCAACAAAAAGACTCGTCCCTTCGCATCTATTTTCAACTAAAACCTGGCAATCTCCTCGCCGCTACTTCACGCAGGATCAATAAAGAAACAGAATTAAGACATCAATTACACTCGATGTGACATTTTGAATCTCTGAATCCCATTGAAAGAAAAATGAAAAATAACCTATTAAAAGCCTTCAATCTCTTACTGACCAACACTTCGTCCACGATTGACAAGGTCAACTCTGAATAGTAAAATCACTTTCCCTTGACTACACATTACACAAAACCAAAGCCTACAACGACTCAAACACATCAAGATACATTTCCACTCAAAACCACACGATCAATCACCTTACCACCAAAATCACATATTATCGCCCCAGATCTCACTCTACAGAATCCCACAGATCTGAAGCTCAACCGCAGATGGAAACCCAACGACTTCAAAAACACAACATTCCACTCAGGACACTAAGAAAATAAACATAAATAAATAAACTATGCGGCTTACCTTGCAAACGGAGGCAAACTCCCCTACTCGGAGAAAACCCCCGCCAGCAGATCAGCCAGTGAAGCCTCGAATACGCTCACCAGCTCAAACAACCACAACCACCGCTCTCCACTGCTCACAACACCAGGGCCACTACGACTCGACCCTCACTTCAACCCTAGATTCCCACCCCGCCATTCTTGCCGAGATCCCTCCGGCCAAGCCCGCGCTTTCTCTGCCGAGTAAAACTACCCAACCCTCACTGCTCGCAAGAATGCTTTACTTCCGAAGCTCCCACCACCTTATTCGAAGCAATCTGGATCTCTGATCCTAAGAAATGGAGAGATTCGTAAAGCGAAGGAGTATGGGGACGATGGAGAGAGACTGAAGGTGTGCCTCAGGCGCTGCCTAAAAAGAATTTTAAGAATATGCAAAAAAATCCCATTTACAGAGAAAACGCATTTTATATTCTCACTCCATTTACAGAGAAATGTGGAGCATTTATATATATATATATATATATATATATATATATATATAAAAATAGAGAGATATATATATAAA